ATAGGTGTTATGACTGGAGTCATAGCCTTCCCATTTAACCAGATATTCTCGACGTGTTTTGCCGGTTCCACCTCGGATTTTCACATCACGATGGTCAAGTAGTGCCTCAACCATGTAATATGGCTCTTCGTCAATTATGAACGGGGGCGGCGGTTGTCGTGTTCCATCGTCCTTGAATGGTTTGAGCAAGGATACGTGGAAGACCGGATGGAGTCGGGAAGTCGCGGGTAATCCCAATTTAACCGTGTTCTCTCCCACTCGGGCGACAACCTTATATGGCCCAATAAACTTAGGCAATAATTTCTTTGCTCCAGGAGATTTCAACTGGATGTTGCGGGTGCTGAGCAGCACGGAGTTCCCAACCTCAAAACGCACCGCACGCCGATGCTTGTCGACGACAATGCACTGGCAGGATTGAGCAGCTTTAAGACGCTGTTTTGCGTTTTCAATACGTTTGCGCATGACCTTGGGATAGCGGTCAGCGGCAGGCACTTTGGTTTTTAGGTGCAAGTCAACCGGCACACGTGGCTGCTTGATACCATTAAGGCTAAACGGGGTGGCACCCGTTGAGCTCTGCCTCGAGTTATTAATAGCAAACTCGATGAGTGGCAGGTGTTCGTCCCAATCATCCTGAGTGGGCGAAATATAGTGCCTCAGTGTCTCTTCTAGCAAGCGATTCATTCGCTCGGTTTGACCATCAGTCTGCGGATGGTAGGCTGTGCTCATATAGAGGTGGGTGCCTAGCAGGCGAAATGTTTCCTTCCAAAAGTTGCTTGTGAAGCGTGTGTCCCGGTCAGACACAATATTCTGTGGAAGGCCGTGCTGTTTGAAAACCGTAGCCACAAAGAGGCGGGCTAGATCTTCCGCACCGACGGATGTGGTTGTGGGAGCGAAGTGCGTCATCTTGCTCAGGCGGTCCACGAACACTACTATCGCGTCATGCCCATTGCGGGTTGTGGGTAGCTGTGTGACCAAATCCATTGACACACTATCCCAAACGTTATCTGGAATGGGAAGGGGCTGCAGCAGTCCGCCTGGCTTTTGATTTGAAGCCTTATTGCGCTGACAAGAAGGGCAGGTACTAACGTAGGCCTTCACGTTAGTATCCAACCCGGACCACCAAAAATGTTTCGCGATCGCTTTTTTGGTGCGGTCAATGCCGCAGTGGCCAGCGTAAGGAACATCGTGATTTTCGTGGATGATGTCCTTTCGCAAGTCAAGCACATCCGGAACGTACAACTGGGG